TGATTGCCCCAGGGCCGCCGGGGAGGATCGTCTCGTGTGAGGGCTCGGAGAGTTCGGGGCGGCGCCAGCTGTCCCGCGAGGGGAGGCTTTGCGGCGCCGCCCGTCATTTCCCGAGCCTCTCCCGAATACTACTACCACGGTCGCAGCCGCTGCCGGTGCCGCTACTCTGCGTCTTGGGCGGCCGACGACGCGTCGAGCAAGCGCTCGATGTCGGCGCGCAGAGCGAGCGGGCTGGTCGAGGGCGAGAAGCGGCGGCGCGGCTTGCCGTCACGGTCCACTAGAAATTTGGTAAAGTTCCACTTTATGGAGGAGCCGAGCCCATCGGAGAGGTGCCGCTTCAGGTATGTGAAGACGGGGTCTGCCGACCGCCCGTTGACGTTGACCTTCGCGTAGATGTCGAAGCGGGCACCGTACCCGTCGGCGAAGGCGCGGATCTCCTTGGGCGAGCCCCGCTCCTGCCGCCCAAACTGCAAACACCGTGTGTGTGTTAGAGGTGCGCGTGGTATTGTCCTCTCGCTTCTCCCAGTGTGTGTGCTAGAGATGTGCTTGGTATTGTTCGCTTCTCCCAAGGTCTGCTCGTGCGCCTGGTCGCACGGGAAGGCGAGGATGCGCAGGCCGCGCGCGTACAGCTCGTCGTGCAGCAGCACGAGCTCGCGGTAGTTGCGCGGCGTCAGGCCTCATTTGGAGGCGACGTTGACCACCAGGCAGACGCAGCCGGCGTGCTTCGAGAGCGGGACCAGCTCGGTGCTGAGCAGGTCGCGGGCGTTGAGGTCGAACAACGAGTCGGCGCGAGGCGACACGGCGCGAACCTCCTCCTCGTAGCGGACACCGCCGTTGGCGAGCGCCTGCAGCCACAGCTGCTGCTCCTTGGAGGATCGCGCGCAGAGAGTCAGCAGGTAGCCTGCCGAGTCGCGCGACCCGTCGCACATGGCTATGCGGAGCGAAAAGCAGTACTCGCCCGTCCTGCAGTCATCTATCTCTGTCACGATGCCAGTGCACGCTGAGATGGCGCGAGTGACGAGAGGCGCGTCGGCATCAGCAGATGCGTAGAGGTGAAGCTGGCCATCGGCGAGCACGACGAATCGCTCCGTCCAGGAGTTGCACAACCAACCTCGAGTCTGAAGCATCAGGAGCGAGTAGAAGACGCCGTTTTCGACGGCGGTGGCAGGGTGGCTGGACTCGTGCGGGGTGTCGTCCAGCGAGCCGCCGGCGATGGTGTCGATGCGCATGCGCATCGATTCAGCGGTCATTCTCGCCGCAGAGCTGCACCAACGCAAACGAACGCGTCCTGTGAGCTTGTGCGTGTGAGCGGCGACCAAGGAGTTGTAGATCACTATGATATGGCGAACAAGGTTGGGGCAGCAAAAGAATTCTACGGCAAACAAAAGAATTTTACGGAGAGTTGCAGGAAAAGAATTTTACGATGACTGGGCACGGGACTGGCAGGAAAAGAATTTTACAACAAAGCTCCCTCGCACAACACTGGGCACGGGACTGGCTCGCACTGGCACTAACACAGGTACACTGAAAAAGAAGAGTCAACCAACTGCAACTCGGACGGCGTTCGAGATCTTGCCGCAGTCTGAGCGACGGCTATACATTGATTCGCGTGACATCGAGGCACCTCCGCAACCAGAAAGAAGGGTGTCGGCGAGTGGAGCGTGGAGCAGCTGCAACAGACTGACAGCTCTCTCTGCGACACGGGCGTGTGCCCTACCCTCATGGCGCTGCTCGGCGGCCTGGGGAGTAGGGGGTAGGCGGTAGGGGGTAGGCGTTATGCCTGGATGTGCGCAGTGGGGTAGGGCGTTAGGGACCGGCACCGACCGGTCCGGTGCCGGCACCGGACCGGTAGGTAGGTTCTCGTGCCTTGCGGCCGGCGAGTTGCTCACTCGGGATGGTGTGTGGCGGCTGGCTGTAGAGCGCTGTAGAGCTGTAGAGCTGTAGAGCGCTGTGGAGCGCTGTAGAGCGCTGTAGCGCTGTAGAGCGCTGTGGAGCGCTGTAGAGCGCTGTAGCGCTGTAGAGCTCTACATCCGCCGCGGGACGGACCGCCGCAGATGTAGAGCGCTGTAGAGGCGCTCTGAGGGGTCCCGTACCACGTGGAATCGACCCTATCCAGTGCTCAAGTGCTCACGGGTTCGAGGCCTTGGAGCACTTGGAGTGCAGTCGGTAACCTCACATCCAGGGCCGGTGAGCTGAGAAGCGCATCCAGCGGGCCGGATGATCGGGATCGGGCTACGGGCTAGAGAGCCCTGACCCCTAGCTAGGGGGGGTGCGCATTCGCCTTTCCCGGTACCCGGGTAGGTAAGATATCAGGGAATCGCGCGCGAAGGTCGTCTGCAGTTGCCAGTGCCGGTTCGGGCTCAGATCCCAGGCGCCCGCCCCGGCGGTTACGCGCTACGCGTCGCCGCCGATATGGCCTCGTACGACGCTGGCGTCGCCGCCGGCGTTCTCTCCGCCCTTCGTGCGGCAACGGGCCCGCTCGACAAGCAGGAGCTGGCGGACATCATCAACGGCGACTCGGCGCTGCGTCCCAATCAGAGAGATCCCAATCCAGTCCGAGTGACTCACAAGGATGTCAACAAGGTGCTGTGGGCGCTCCACCCCACCGGCGGCGTCGTCCAGGCCGAGCAGATGAACGGAACCCGCCCGACGTGGGTGGTGGGCAAGATTCCGCCGGCTGCAGCGCCGCAGGAGCAGGAGCAGCCGCAGCCGCCGCGCACGACGTTGTGCAAGGACGCGCTTTACTATTACAAGCGGGCAAGTCGGAGTCAGACCGCGGAGTCGAATCCAACGGTGGGCCCTCGAGAGCTGGTTCAGATCATGGAGGCCGCCTTTGCCGCCCTCCCTGACAATGAGCGCCGGCCGTTTGAGGAGCGGGCGGCTGCCGACGCGGCGGCGGCGGAAGAGGCGGCTCCAGCAGAGGCGCCGACAGGGGCGGGAGGAGCGTCGGCGCCGGCGGAGGAGGACTCGGACGAGGAGGAGGGGCGGCCACTCGCCGCACGCGCAAAGAAGCGCGCGCGAGGCGACCCGC